GGAATGCCAACCCAACCACCCAGCCTGCTGCCTGAGAGCTTTGCAGTAGAGAGCACATCTGCATGAATGTGGAATTAAAAAAAAGCAGTGAAGATCATGGATCCTTAACTTTATGGCTCCCAGTTCCCCGTGCAGGTTGTCCCTTGTCCCCTTGTCCTGACAAAACATTTGCTAGAAAAGGCTGAGGTTCACCTCATCTCCATGGGCCTGTGTCCTTCCTGCTAGGAGGGCAGAGGCATCTCCTGGCCACAAGAGCTTTGCTGCTGGAGAGAAAACCACCTCCAGCCCCTGGAGATGAGCACACAGATGTGCACCAACATGAGCGCCTGGGCCAGCCTGGTCTTGCCATATGGCTTTCTGATGCTGGGCAGAAATGCACATTAAACCCAGACTGGGAAAGCAGAGACTTTCTGAGTCCATGTTTCAGGGTCCTTGGCTCTACCTCCTGCTCTCTGTGCACTTGACTGCAGGTGAGGAGGCTCAGCATGAGGCAAGCCAGGGCTCAGGGGGGTCACCAAGGCAGAGAGGGGTCCCTGCTGTGGAGTCTCCTTCTCTGGAGACTTTCAAGACCTGCCTGGACGCCTTTCTGAGTGACCTGCCCTAGTTGTTGGGGGTTTTATTGGTCCTGCTCTGGCAGGGGGGGTTGGACTTGATGATCTTTGGAGGTCCCTTCCAACCCCTAATATCCTGTGATGCTGTGAAATCCAAGGCTGTGTCACAGGCCTGATGAATAATTCAGGACAAGTTAAGGTTGTCTCTGGTATTTCAGTCCCAGTGTGTCCAAAATCCTCACTGCTAATTTGTCATCATGAACGGTGACTTCTAGGGCAGCAGGGGAGCCCTGTGATGGCAATTGTCACTCCACCTGCTGTCCTGCCTGGAGTGACTCTCACTGCCTACCCCACCTGGCAGGACCAACCGAGGTCCCAGCCAACTGCTTGCCCTGGGTTGGGGCCACCTCCCCAGATGGGAGCTGCTGCCATGGCATGTCCTTGGGCTGCTCAGACAGGACCATCACTGTGTTGGCCTCTGGGAGGGACGTGGTGGTCTTTGCATGTCACTCAGATGTCCCCTGACACCACCAGTCCTCCTATGATGCTAACTCAGCCTTCCTCCGTGGGGTTTCCAGGTGGCTCTCTGAGACTGTCCCTCACTTACAGCCAGAGAAATAAACCCAACCCACCTACTCACCCCCTCCCAGCTGCCAGGATGGACTGTAAAGAGATTTAGACAGGCAGGAAGAATATTGTATTTACAGAAAGTACAGCATTTTATGGCAAATAGCTGCACATCAGGTACAAAACAGTTGTTGGGAAAACAGCTGATAAAATTTTATAAGCAAAGCTGTGAAAAATAAACAGGATAGTGAGGGAAAGGACTTTGCTTGGTGGTGAAGCCTGAAGAAATGTCCTTTTAGGAAGACACAGACATCAATGACAACAGGCAGTGGGTCATCTGGCTGTAAAGAGCATGTGATGAAAAATGTCTGTTATTCACATCTCAGTCAAAATAAATTTGAATCTAGGCTGTAAATTCCTGGTTTGCTACAAATTCAGAAGTATTTTTCCATCTGCTCTGTAATAATTCAGCTATCTGGTTGCTACACAGAAACTGGTCGCCTGCCATGTGGGCAGGGAGTCATTTTGGAAACTGGGTTTGAAGTCTCCTGGTGTCTGAAAGTCACACAATTAACAAGCTAATTAAAATCAAGCTAGTAGCTGCCCATCAGAAAAGGAAAAAAGGCAACCTGTGACTGACAGGGAGAGGAAGAGTTTGTGCTGGAGAGGAGCTCAGCTGAGCTGAGAGCAGAGCACACGGAGGTGCCTCACATGAACGTTGCTGAGCAGCTCCAGGGCAGGTGCCACGGGTGCTCAGCAGGGTCAGCTCCAGCAGCTGAAGCCATCAGCTAGGAAAGGATGTCTTTTTACTCTCTGTCACTCACTGACAAGCAGCAGCAGCCCAGATCCACTGCCCAAGGGAAGTTCTGGGGATGCAGAGGAGGCGTGTGCTGCAGCCAGAGGGGGGAAGAGCTTCTACTGCAGAGATTCTGGGGCTGAAGCACAGACCCATGGTACGTGTGGGGTTGGAAGGGACATTCACAGCTCATCCAGCCCAGCCCCCCTGCAGTGCACAGGGACCTTTTTAACTAGACCAGGTTGCTCCAAGCCCCATCCAACCTGCCCTTCAACACTGCCAGGGATGGGGCAGCCACAGCTTCCCTGGGCAACCTGGGCCAGGCTCTCACCACCCTCACACTCCACAATTCCCTCCTCATGTCTCACCTCAATCTCCCCTCCTCCAGTTTTCATCCATTCCCCCTTGTCCTCTCCCTCCCTGCCCTTGTCCCAAGCCCCTCCCCAGCTTTCCTGGAGCCCCTTCAGGCACTGGAAGCTGCTCTAAGGTCTCCTTGGAGCCTTCTCTTCTCCAGGCTGAACACCCCACCTCTCCCAGCCTGTCTCCAGAGCAGAGCTGCTCCAGCCCTTGGATCATCTTTGTAAAAACACATTAAAAATTAATTAAATTAAACAAGAAAATGTATTAAAACCAACAGGAGGTGGAGAAAAATCACGTCTCTACCTTATACCCAGGTTTTCTCCCTCTCTTCTTTGGGATCTTCTCGACTGGCAAGGCTGGTGCAGAGTAGAGGTTGTGAAGGGGCACCTTGGTGGGCTTGGGCTGGAGCGGGGGCCGCCCGCGCTTCCTGCCCCCCGGCCTGGGGGGCTGCAGCTCCCTGGGGGCTGGGCTGGGGGGCAGGCATGGCAGGTGGCTCATCTGCAAGAGAGGGAAGGGGAAGGGGAAGGGAGAAGGGAAGGGAAGGGAGAAGGGAGAAGGGAAGGGAGAAGGGGAAGGGAAGG